TTTTTTTTTTTTTTTGAGAGGTTTTTTGCTATAGGGCTCGTGTGCTCGTCAGACAGACAGAGAGAGACATAGAGATAGAAAGCGAGAAATCACCCCCCAGGGGGGATGGTCATGCTGCAATCCCTTCTCCTCCATTCTCCTCTCGGGATCTTGGGCATGCACGCACATGCGCCCGGCGTGAGTTCTAAGCCACAGGGTCCGGGACGTGAACCGCGGTCGACTACGTGGGAATCCAGCGACATAGCCATTATGCTAACTGCTGGTTCCCAATCTTTTTCTTTTTTTAAGACAATTGTGCTGTCACAATCTTCCTGCCTAGCATCTCAACTAGGACTACAGGCCCGTGCCATTATGCTTGGCTCTTTTTAGGCAGGATATTGCTGTGATGCCCAGGCCAGCCTCAACCACCCCCAACTGCAGTCTCCCTAGGCCCAGGAATTGTAGGTGCATGCTACAGCACCCAGCTCTTAGACTGGACTGGGAGTCAATCCCAGGCCTCCTGTGCAGTCCCATCCTGCGGTGCACAGCACCTTAGCATATTCTGCCATGACTGAACTGAGCTATTTTAAAGAATTCTAGAAACTCTTCTTGAACACCTGTTGTATGCCAAGCAGTACAGAGGTCATGAGACACAGCCCTTCCTATGAGTTGCCTCTGGACCAGGGAGGCAGTTATGTGGGCTCCTGCCCAGCTCCCCCGGGACCTGGCAGTTTGTCCGGCAGTCAGCCATGGTGGTGGGGAGGCTGGGCTGGGTTGGAGCATGTGTGCCAGTGGAGCTGCTCCCTGTGCCTTGGGGCAGAACAGTGCCTCTGGATGTCCCCTCAGGGCAGTGCCGAACAGCCGAGTGCCCAAGTAGCACAGGGACCCAGCGTGTCTTTCCCCGCAGGTGGCCTGTGAGAAGACTGTGTCAGCCATGCACCACGTTCTGCAGAGGACCATCCAGTGTGCGAAAGGTATGCCTGCAGGGGTGCTAGTGCAGCAGTGGGCGGGGTGACTCTCGCCGTCTCAGGGTGTGACGTGAACAGGTACCATGGCTCTGCTGGCCTCGGACTCTAGGACTAGGGGCAGCTGCAGTGATGCGGAGCCTCCCTGTGAAATGGGAGCTTGGAAGTAATCAGGCCATGGAGAGGGCTTAGACGAGACAGGGAGGAAGAGAGAAGGCTGGCCCCAGTGCAGTAGTGGAGCCCTATGCATAGGGAGCCAGACCTCACCAGGCTGACCAAGGTTTGAATCTTGGCTCTAGTAGCTTGAAAAGCTCACCAAACAGGACCAGGAAATAGCTTAATGGTTATATCACTGGGCTCTCACGTAGTCAACTGTGGTTTGAGTCTTGGACCTGGTGGCTTAAAACTCATGCTGGGCATGTGTGTGTACTTTTCCAAAATCCTGAGAGGAGAACGGAGCAGAAGGGATTGCAGCATAGCCATATCCCCTGGGGGGGTGATTTCTCGCTCTCTGTGTCTCTGGTGAGCGTATACACCTATAGCAAAAATCTCTCTCAAAAAACAAAACCTCACCAGGCACATGTCCATGCATGCCCCAAATCCTAACAGGACAGAGAAAAGGAGAAGGGATCACAGTATGACCACACCCCATGGGGGATATCTCTCATTCTCTTCTCTCCCTATGGTGAGTGCACATACCCTCTGGCATTTAAAAAAATGTTTTTAATAAGTTTGTGTAAAAATGGAATGAAGGGAACCAGCAGTTAGCATAATGGCTATGTCGCTGGACTCCCACGTAGTCGATCGCGGTTCGTGTCCCGGACCCGGTGGCTTAAAAAAACTCACGCTGGGCCCGTGCACGTGCGTGCCCAAGATCCCGAGAGGAGAATGGAGGAGAAGGGATTGCGGCGTGACCATCCCCCCTGGGGGGGGATTTCTCGCTTTCTGTCTCTCTCTCTGTCTGTCTGGCGAGCGCACGCGCCCTACAGTGAAAATCTCTCAAAAAAAAAGGAATGAAAAGGGACCAGCAGTTGGCCTAATGGCTATGTCGCTGGACTACCATGTAGTCGACCGTGGTTCCGGTCTTGGACCCGGTGGCTTAAACTCACACCAGGTGCGTGTGCGTGCGTGCCCAAGATCCAAAGAGGAGAATGGAGAAGGGATTGTGGCGTGGCCATCCCCCCTGGGGGGTGATTTCTTGCTTTCTGTCTCTCTAGGTCCTTCTGGCAAGCGCATGCACACTATAGCAAAAACCTCTCCAAAAAAAAAAAAATGAAATAAAAGTATGAGTTTATTAAGGAATTGAGAAACTCAGAGGGCCAATAGGTAGCATAGTGGTTAAAGCACTGGATTCTCACATGGCCAACCATGTTTTGAGTCCTGGACCTGGTGGATTTTTTTTTTTTTTTTTAAAAGGGTTTTGTCTTTTTTTTTTTTTAAAGAGGTTTTTGTCATAGGGTACGTGTGCTTGCCAGAGAGAGATAGAAACAGTGAGAGAGAAAGTGAGAAATTGCCCCTCCCAGGGGGATGGCCATGCCCCAATCCAGTCTCCTTTATTCTTCTCTTGGAATGTTGGGCATGCATGCACACATACCTGGCATGATTTTCAAATCATCAGGTCTGGGACTCAAACCACGGTAAGCCATGTGGGAGTCCAGCGATATAACCACTTTGCCATCTGCTGGTGGCCTGAAACTCATGCTGGGCAGAGGTACATCCATGCCCAGAATCCCAAGAGGAGAAGAAATTACAGAGCTTCATCCCCCCTGGGTTGATTTCTCACTTTTCCTTTTACTGTCTTTGTCTTTCTCCAGCAAACGCAGGCCCCTATGGCAAAAACCTTTAAAAAAATGTTTTTTAAGTAGCCTGTCGTCATCCCCACCCCATGCCAGCTCACATATTCCTTCTTCATTCCACAGCCCAGGCTGGGCAAGGTCTGAAGCCCAGTCCAGCCCAGCTGGAGCTGAGGATGGTCCAGAGCAAAAAGGACATCGAGGACCCTGAGATTGTTGTCCAAGCCACCGTGCTGTGAAGGCCACCACCAATGACCACAACGCACAGTGTGTTGGTGTCTCCATTATCGTCCCTGTGAAAAAAATGTAACGTCTGCCTTAGAGCTGCGATTGTGATTCGATATTCTTTTCTTTCCTGAGTGTTGGCATCAACTGATCTTACTTGTGAAAACGTGCCAGTTGTGCTTTTTAAATATAACCAAGTGATCACAGAAATTTGTGATTAGAAACCCCGGCTCCCCTCCCTCCAAGGCCCCTGCGCTCCTGAGAGCTGAGCTTGATGTTTTTAGGCTTGGGGGTGTCCTAGGTGGGGACATGGCAGTGGGTAAGGGCAGGGCCACTGGCTGCTGCTGCTGCACGGAATGCCAGTCCCCTGGGCCAGGTTAACCTCTGTGTGTCTGTATCTCTGAAAACAAGTTGTGTTTTGAAAGAATCGTGCCAAATATCTCATCATTCTGTTCTTACCCTCTTTGTTTGCACATCAGGATGCTTGTTTCTTAATTTGCTGCTCGTGGGTCCCTGGAGATTTCAGACTTTACCACTGCTGTGTAGCCTAGCCGTGTGGGAAGGTTCGCTCTCTGCTCAGACCCACACAGGCTCTGCAGTCCTGTCAAGAGGGCCCAGCGAATTCAAGCCAGTCCGCAGACCTTTTGAGTCTCAGCGGGACTCCCACAGCCTGAGCACCTTCTAGAATGTGTTGAGTGCCTGAAGGATGCTGGTAAACAAGATTGCTGTGAGCGGGGTCAGCTTGTGAGTTCTGGGGAGGTTACCAGCTATGCCCCTTGTGGAAACACCTAATCCAGGTCCCATGGGATAAGCACCGCACAGTTCCCACAGTGTCCGTGTGCAGACTGCCTGTGGGTGGCAAGTTTGACCCTCGGCCCTTGCCTGCCCCTGTACTAGGTTCTGCATTCCGTGCCAGCTACAGGTCCTAGAGGGAAGGGGCAGCATAGAGGGTGGGGGCAGCTCTCTGACCCACCAGAGGGTGCTGGATGGTCAAGGCACACTGCTGGCTCCGACAAAGGTTCAGCTGGCCACTGCTCAGGTAATCTCCTGGCACCACTTTTCCCAGCTGGGGGTCCCCCAGGTGTGTCTACTGCAGGAGCACCTGTCCAGCCTGCCCGGATCTCAGCACCCTGCTCCCATTTCTGTGCCCTAGTTCTGGGTGGGGGGTGGTTGCAGAAATTTGCATCTCCTGGGAACACACAGCCTAGAGAGGCATGGGGAGAAAGTTGCAGGAAGGGGGGACCCAGTTCGACCCTGAGAAAGCAGACTCTCCAATGGTACTCTGCTCTAGCCCTGTAGGCAGACCCCTTCCAGGGCATTTTTACTGCAGCTGCAGAGTCTTCCAGAAGACGCACCTACTGGGAGTACGTCTTCAGTTTGCTGGTAATGCCCTAAAACAGGGATGCTGGTCCAGGCGAAATTCCTGCACCACGCCACTTCTCATTCTTCCCAGTGGGGCTGCCACCACAAGCATACTAACTTACATGGCAGTAGTCCCCACAGCCCCGGGAGTTGTGCAGTGCCTGGTGGGGAGGCCACCTCCCCCGTGGGCAAGTGTAGGCATCTACTGGCTCACCCAGGATCCTGGGCCTGCAGAGGGCCTCTAACAGAAAATGCTGTCACTGCCACATAGGGACCAAGGATAACCCCACGTTGCCAGCAGTAAGGAGATCTTCCCTTTTCTTTTTCTTTTTGACTGGGGAAAGGCCCTAGATGTATCTCTCTTCCATGGATGGTGGAAAACACACCCTGAAATATAGCATGGTGTTGGGGCTCACTCTGTGTAGAGGTGGACGTGAGGGACGATGTCCTCTGGCTGGAGCCGTGGGGTTCTCTGCTAAATTTCACCCCAGAGGCTTCGTCCACACGTTAGGTCTAGTTCTGTTATTTCCCTCTTTTATTTCCAGAATGATGAGAATTTTCCACCCACAAAAACTTGCTGTAAAACTGTGAACTCTCTGGCACAATCCAGAACATTCTCTTCTGTCTTCTTTGGCTGGACAGCCCAGATGACAAGAGAGGTTGTGATTTGAGCTAGGTGAACAAGCAGGAGGAAATTGGGTTTCTGAGAGCTGGAGGCCAAGTCTTGGTTCTTGGCGGAGTGTGGACTTGTGTAGAAATAATGTTCCCTCCTGTGGGAAAATGTTTGACCTCGCACTGTGCAAGCGGGTGTGCTGTGTCACCAGCTGCTGGGCGCCCTGCTTCTTGGCTCATTTCCACGTGGACATGGTCAGTCTCCTGCAACACGAGCAGAGGCCCTAGGGGGTCTTGATTTCCAGTCCCCTGATCGAGAAGCTGCCCGTGGCCTTTGGCAGTGGTTTCATTTTTTAGAGTCACCATGTCACCATCCTCCCGCTCCACCTCCTGAGTAGGTGGGACCACAGGCATGCCCCAGTGTGCCTGGCTTTGGCCGTGGTTTTGGACCCAAACTGGAATCAATTTTTTTTTGACTGTCTATAGTTTAGTAATATGTGAAATAATAATAATTTATTTTAAGATGAGAGCTGTATTGGTCAAGAATTGCCTGCTTATTATCAGGGTACAAGATTTTAATACTTTCTTAATCCAGGTTTTTAGGCCTTCTCCTGTAGACTTTGAGAATAAATTATAAAATATGATTTTTAAAATCAATTTGAAATCATTGCCTAGTCCTGCTAAGGTAATTGTGTGCATCTATGTTCTATATATAATACAGTACAATACATATATGTAAACAATTGTAAAAATGAAGCTTTGTTTTATGTCTTGTTCTTAAATTTGTTAACATCAATTTTTAAAACATTTCATTTTACCATGAACCAAGCCAGGTTTGGCTTAACTGCACCAATGAGTGAATGTGGATTTTTGTGCATCGCGAATAGCAGACAGGGGTACTGCTCACGCTGGACTGGGGACCCAGTCCCAGTCCCTGTAGTGGTCCTCTCCACCATCTAAGGTGACAGCGTGAGTGCTGTGTGTTAGGGCTTGGGGCCCTTCTGTGCAGTGTGCTCACAGAAGGCAGCCCTGCAGGGAAGCGCAGGGTGGTCCTCAGCCCTGGGGAGGAGGCAGGCTGGTCAGGGCCAGGTGGGCAAGACTCTCAGGTCACAGACTGCCGAGATAGCTCCTGACCCTGCATGTCTGCCCCTTGTCACCTGAGCCTCAGGTACGAAAAAAGAAGTGAGAGCTTTCTGGCTACTGGGACTCCTCCAGTCCCCTCTTACCCTTTGACAGGGCCACCAACTTGTGGGCATTATGGCCTGTTTTTATGCTTAGTTTATGTATTCTGCTGCCTGACTAGCAGGAAACTTGTTCTCCCTCCTCTGCCACCTGCCTGGTCTTTGGGCCTCCTTCATGCACCTCTCCTTATGGGGTGGGGTTCTGCTCAGGACCCTTCTCAAGCACCTGCCCAGGGCTGTGAGGGGTCTGCGAATAAGCAGGGCAGATAACGTGCAGACAGGCAAATGGAAGCTTCGGTTCTGGTTTCCTGCCTGCAGCTTGGGCCACACAGCCCTGACTGTACCCTGCCCACCAGAGGCCATGGCTGCAGGACGTGTTCACTCCGCACCTGTTCTTGCCAGGTGGAGGGACTTCCTTTCCAGTTGTCCCATGTGGCTCTTGGACTAAGACTCCCTGAAGAGCCAGCTCCTGTGTCTGCCTGAGGAGCGCACCAGACAGGTCCCAACTACTAGGGCCAAGTAGTTACATGGGCAACTCAGAAGAATCCTGAGCTTCGATAGGTCAGGTCTATTGCCCAGAATCAACCATTAGCGCTAAGTCAGGGGTGGATGTTCACCCCACCCCCAGGGCTCCCAGTACATGGAGGAAGGTCCACACAGTGCAGCTTCATAGCCCCATGCAGAGCTGGTAGCGTGTCACATCTGCGTGTGGTGCTCTCAGACAGGTGTGGAATCCGGCAGGTGGAGGTGCAGGCGCAATGATTATTAGGAAGCCTGTATTTTTTATAGCTGTGGTTTCTGGCTTCAGCCATGCACTTCCAGCTGCTACCAGCAGGGGTCTAGCAAATCCAGAGGAGGCCTGCTAGCTGAGGCCCTCCTGCCCGCAAAGCCTCCTCCTCCTCCTGGTAGGTGAGCCTACCAGGGGAGTTAGGTGGTTGGGTAGAGTTGAGTGGTTTCTTTCCTTTTTCTTCTTCTTTTTTTTTTAGTCAGTCTTTCTCTGTTGACTTTCACATGTGCCACAGTGAGCTATGGCTCTGTGTGTCCCCAACTCCAGGCCGTGCCCTTGCCCACAGGGGCTCAATAGCCTGACAGCTGTCCTCAAGCCTCTGCCTGGGTATCCTGCGACATGGCTGAGGTCCAGTTAACTAAATCCAGGGCTTTCTGTCATGTATGTCTTCCTGTTGGCCCTGCCGTGTATTCCTGGTACAGAACTTAATGGGAGAAGGCACTGTTAGGAAGCAGTTATAAACCACAGTCCGGCCTTCCCCTGCCACCCTGTGTTCATACAATAGCATTTCATGAGTAACTTTAGATCTGACTGAGTAAATATTTTAAAATGTTGTTATTGGATTCTTCCAAGATTTCTTTTTCTTTTCATTTTTAAAAATTTCTGGCAGACTACACAGGTGTTTTCAGTCTCCTCACTGAGCAGGTTGGACCCTGTCCTCAGAGCAGGAGGCTTTGGTCCATCTCTGACCTTGCTACGCCCACCTGGAGTGAGACTTGTGATGGGACCACTGCTTCAGGGTGGCGATGGTCAGGCCTGCAGCCACCTGCAGCCTCTCCCCATTCCCTCCCCCAGTCCACTGGGGGGTAGT